ATACATAGAACAATACATATTGAATTAAAGCTCCTTAGAGCTAGATCGAGCAACATTGAAACATAGGGTGTCCTTAATTGAAAACTATCCATATTGTCGTCCTTCAATTCTCTGTTTATCGGTGATGCCAATATCTAAGTGTGCCTACCAAATATACTTCTCAATTTAGTATTTCTATTATCAAGTATTTTTGAATTTAAGGAAAGAAAGTTATAAAGGCATAAACAATTACTTTAAACAACCTGAGAACCTTCTTATGATTAAACTGTTTTGAGAAAAATTCTATCCATTTTAGCTAGAAATTTAAAGTTGACACATTAAATACTCTACTACTTCGAATTATCAATTACTTTTAGTAACAAGAACTGCTTTTACCTACTTTACATGTTCCTGATCGTCATCAGTAAAATTGCTACAGTGTCCGTTACTATATTTCGCTGTTGATGCCTATGCACGGTGATTTTCTCTTAGGTTGGTGATATTGGGTTTCTCTAAAAAGTTGTACCCTTTCTTTAAACCCTAAAACATGAAAGAAAAATATGTGCATTACAACCTGATGAAAAAGAAGAGGAGTTGATCTATTTCCTCAAGATTAACAACTTAATTCATTCCAGGAAGCTAAATAAACAAACCAGAAAGATACTTACATGATAAAGAAATCTGTAAAGATGCTATCGAAAGAAGCGAAAAAAGAAAAATTCGTTGGAATACAAGACTAACTGTACTTATATTTGACTTTACTGTAGAGTTTCGTGTGATTACCCAAGCAACTTTTTATCACAACACCTCCTCTGTTACGGTAAACATTTTATGTAAATAAATAATAACGTGGTTTTGAAGTCACATATTGTGCTATTTTATAAATAACACTCTCACAAAGATTTGCAGAATTACGAGAAGAGATCAGAAACTAAATAACAAAATCTAAAAGAACATAGACTTTTTTTAAATTCAACAACGAATGTTATATTCACGAACCCGGGCAAAATGTGTCAAAATAATGCAAAAACACAACATGTATTACTTAAACTTTAATAGTCGAACAACAAAATTAGTTGGTTTTTTTTTTTGAAAACCCCAAAAGTTGTTCATCAAGTATAACAAGAGAAAGGAATATGAAAATGTCCCAGATATCTCGTGTATGAGGAAATGCTACATATCCGTATTTACAGAAAAATTAGATATTTTGCACGTCGATATAAGAGAAAGATTATTTACATTACATTAATTAACAGTTGACATTTAACCAAAAAGTCGTTCTGTTGATACCATTTATTATTTAATTAACTTCAAAAGATATTATGGGGCGTTGCCTTATCTACTTGATTAACTGGTTTACCTTGCGCAAACGCGATAGGTTTTTGAGGTTAAAATTATTAAATATACAAAATGCTACGGGTTTGTGTGAATTCTACGAGCCTATTCAGTGAAAAAAGCCAAGTTCGCTGCTTGAAAACTGTTATAAACGTTATTTTAAGACTAAAGCTAAGATCGAAACTTATCGTGGCCGCCTCAAGTGTTATGTTTGATATGTTATAAAAACCTTTTGACGTACCACTACATTGAGGTGAACCCAAAAACATTGCAGACGATTATTATTCCTGTTTAACAAACATGAAAGATTATTCAAAAAAAACGAAAAGTTCGGTAAAATATACCGATGTGTCATCAGGAACAATGCCGCTACTTCATTCACTAATTTCGATATCACAGTGATCTTTGAGGGTATTAACTTCATCAAGTTCTATAGAAGAAGATAGCGAATTCTAGAGGAGATAAAATTCAAGATTCAACCATAGCTAGTGCAGAAGTATATTTGATTGGTCAATCAAAGCTACGCGATTTTGTTAGAGATTTAGATTTGACCAAAGAAAAATCTGAAATCTTAGGATCAAGATTAAAATAGTAGATCATTTACAGGCTGATGTTCAAATTATAATTTCCCGAAAGCTGTTCAGTAAACTAACTGGCTATTAAAACAACAAATACTTTGTTTTAATTTTAAGACTGCGATTCTACTATACAAAGTATCGTTGCTTACATTTACATGAATTACATATCGGGTAGGCGGATCAACCAACCTTGCACCGCAACCCTAAGGATCTATTGTACCCCGTTATCAAACGTTATCAAATTTCATCGTGCAGTCCAGCTCGGTGAAAAGTCATTCAGTTCCTATGGGCAGATAAACTGTGACCCAACAATCGAGAATCTGATACGATTAACAGCAGGGCAGTGGCATAAAATATGCTCAATCGTCTCCTCGTCCTCCGCACATAGGCGGAATTCAACATCGTCGGCTAGTCCTAACAAGTTGAGGTGTGTCTTTAATCGGCAGTGCCCAGTAAAGACGCTCATTAAAACTTTCATGCTTCTATGAGCAAGTCCTAAAATATTCCCGGGTTTGACGGTGGCGATTTTAATAAACAACTTAGCATGTCTCATTCCAGGAGAACTGGTCCATAGTACACGAAGTCTCTCTTCAGCCCACAGTCCAATCCTATGTTTGGCCAACGCAAATGATGCACCAATTGCTGGCTCTGGCCCCACAAACGCTTTAGCGTTGCCCTCTCGTGCTAGCTCATCTGCCGCTTCATTGCCACAACTTAGTGTGTTTAAAGTTCTTTTACAGTAATTAACCAGAGCCGACACCGTTTTCACGACCTGCAGCGCCTGGAAAACGGCTTGACTGTCTGACAAAAATGGTAGGTACTGTCATGTTTGTCACACCTCTCTCGAGAAGGAGTTTAGCACCCATGTGAATAGCAAATACTTCCGCCTGGAATACAGTACAGTACGTACCCATGCTGTAAGCTTGCTTAATCCGAAGTGTCTGGCAGTATACTCTATGCCTCGACCCTTTCCGGCGTTTTTGATAAATCTGTGAACATGCAAATATCTGCCTGAACCAGAGAATTTTCGTTTTTCATCCAAGACTGCCGTTCAAGTTGGCGTTGTGCTTATCGCACCAGAGGTTCTGCAAACCACAGTCAATGATCCCAACGATTGTCTTTTGCGGGTTTATCGACAGATTCTCTCCCTTGCACTAAGCACAGTATCTGAGGTTACCTGGAGGACTTTGGACTGTATCGTTGTTTTCTCTGGGAATAATAATAACAGAACCTGAACAGAACATTATGTTAAACAAAACTGGCCTTTAAGATCTGGGTACGTTGTGGAATAAATCACATCAAATTTGGTTTAATTAAATAAATTTGTAAAAGCGCTCCGTAAAGATGGAGCAGAATTTGAGTTTCAGAGTTTCTCCTAGGCTCAGTGAGGCAAAAATACAAAAGTTTCTTTCCCGAAATTAATTTAGCGTATCTTTTTAAATAAATAAACTATTTTATTTACAAATCTTGATTGCCATCACTGAATACTATCACTTACAGAAGTTTTATTATACAGTTGATCATCGATATCTTAGTCAGATGTATGCTCTAAAATGTTCAGATACACCTCTATATTCTCATTTTCCTCGAATTTCCTGTCACTACAATCATGTTCAACCTGTAAATTGTCTGCCTTTTCCTAATCATTTTCGATATCATATTAGAACCTAAATCCATATCGTCCTCTTCGTTCATTATTTTTTGTTAAAAGTAAATAGTTTGTTTAAAAAGATAACGCTAATATCAATCACTCGTAAATTTTACGACGATCGCACCAAAAGCCGGGGTAGTAAACAGCCACATCGATATACATCGAACACAAGACAAACTACGAATATATTTCAACGTGGAGCACGTAACAGCATTAACAAGATATCGAGCAAAGAAAACAGCGCGTCGTAAAACTTACGATATATTAGTATTCTAGGGTTAATAACAACTGATGGATTTAATAAACGTTTTTCTAAGGTTTCACATTGATAATTTTTTAGTAATTTTTCACCTGCTTATCAAGCTTTTATGAAATTAATTAAAATATTATTAATTCTAAAGAGTTCTTCGTTGTAGTATAGGTCATGGATAAAAGTATAAATATTATCAATAAAAGACTTTTATTATTTTAAATTATCGTTTAGTTTAAAAAAATGTGTCCCAAAACCCATTTTAACAAATCTAAATAAATAAAAAATGCGTTGGGCTGCCAAATGGGTACTTGATTGAAACCAAAATAAAAAATTATTGTCATAAAATGAATATTTTTTGGACATTACTTGATTACCTAGATCCTCTGATCTTAATACTTCTAATATCTTCCGATGGGATTTACTACAAGTAAAACTTTTCAAACCTAATCCTTGCACATTGAAACAATTCTCATTTATTTTCCTATTGTTTAACAACTTGTGAATAGTATTCGTGGAATCGCCACAATCTGTTTCCCACAATAAATAAATAAAACAGATTTCAAAATAACATGGGTCAAAAAAAAATGCTTTCCTTCGCATAGAAATAACAATGTATTATCTTAGGCCGAGTCAGCACCGATAAAATCGGACAGGAAATTAAAGGTTTTGCTTATTTTCTTTGGGAATTGTTTACACACTGATAAAAATATCACATTTCATAGGTATTCTAATTTATTACTTTTTTTATCAATTTGATGTTTTTCTAATATTCATTAAATACTCGATTTAAATAAAGTAGCTTTGAAAATCCTTATATAAAATCTAGTTATAAAATGTAAATAAACTTCTAAGAAATCGTTATAAGACCTCGTAAAATCGCAAAGTGTGGAACACATAAAAGACACCGCACGCGTTCAAGAATCACATCTGCGTTTCCAATTCCTGGAGTTTCTGGAAAAGCAATCGTTTTTCCATCATATAACCAACGATATTCAGTATTACTCGTTTCCTCCTCCTCCTCCATCTCCTACCACTTCTATCGGCTGTTAATCTGCGAATATAATCTTTCAGTATAAATAAACAAATCCGGAATCGGGTTGTTGATGTTTTTTCTTCTTTCCTTCTTTGCTAGGTTAGCGAACGCTGCCCGCTAGCACTCGAAGATACGAGTGAGCCGTGCGCGGACCCAACAGATGGCTTGATTCTTGCGCTTGTGCCTGGATAATCAGAAACTCCAGTCGTTCTCCGACCGCTGTAGGGGTAGGATTCGCTCCTGCGCGTTCCGAACTTGCGCAAACTCGTACGTCGATCGTCGGTTTCGTTCACAAACTCTAACAATTAAGCGTGAAAACAATTAAAATAATTCGGAACATGTGAGTTTATGGTTCGAGTGAGATTTTATGAACACGAGGATGTCCTCGCCGACATTAAAAACGTTTCAAATCATAAAAACAATTCGTACCTGATATTTTAAATAGTGTTTAAATTAAACTTTAAAACAAATTTGAATTGAAATTAAAAAAAAATCGTTTGTATTAGATGATAGTTAAAAACAGTTTTTTGGAAAATTAAGTGTGTTGAAGTGGATTTTTCGAAGATTCTTGTTGTGTAGATGCTAAAATTGTGTTTGTGATATGCTTAAAAGATGGTTAATTATCTAAATATGGCTTTCAATGTAGTTTTGAGTGATCGTTCGATGTGCTGCTGTGTCTTCTTCGTGCTGTTAGTTTCTGTATCGATAACAAATGGTAAGTTATGAATTCTATTAAAAATTATTAAATTAATAATTTATTTAAAATCGGATCAATTTAATCAATGCTAAATATTATGAGTCTTCCAAAATCGATTATCATTGTCACTAAAACGGATCTTAAATAAGTCTCGATTGTTATATATTGTTATTAGTCATGAACTAAAAAAAAAAGATACCTGGAAAAAGGACTTTGAAGGTTTCTATTGTTAAAGATTTTTTTAAAAACAATTTAAATAAAAGGCGTTGGTAAAGTTCGGTACAATTCTCATATATCAACGAAAAAGCCATGAATACCATTGAATCCTATTAAGATAGTAGCCTTTTTCTCGGTATTTCATTGACCTCGAGTTCGTTGTTGAACAAAACTCGTCCTCCGGCGATTGATTTTTCGATGAGCGGAACGCAAAAAGCGCCTTAGCGAATTCTATGGATTTGTAAGGCGCGACAAAGGCGTCTGTTCGCCACGGACTGAGAATTATTCATGAAGCACCTGGACGAGGACCCGGAGACACGATCTTCGCCGTATTTATCCGCCGGTTTTCTACGTTATCGCTCCAAATAGGAAACGAGAAAACGATACTTTGTCGGCACTGTTGGTGCCCAGGGCTTTGTACTACTCTCTCTCTTTTCCTGTACCTGACAACAAAGACCTCTCTTGTATCTGGTCCAGCTGTGGAGGTTCGTGAATTTACTTTCTGGACACTAAAAGAAACGCCCTCTAAACCTTTCTATAACCGGAAATATTTTACATTACGCCATTCTCACAAAACACAAGACCATTACGGTAAAATCTAAACTTATGGGAAATCTATCAATTTACTCTTCTCATAATCAGTATTATTATTACTAACCCATTCTGACATGTGTGTAGCAAAGCGAGCGTGTCTCGCGGTTTGCACGAGATATGATAATGAAACAAACCGGGGTTTATTACTTTACAGATAACCACTCTGTATCATTATCTTTCACTGTACACTCTACATCCTGCGGGTACAAGTTACGATGAAGTCGCATTTTAACAGGTGGTATCGAAACATGATAATGGCGAACACGACTTCATATAGATAAGAAGTGCAACATTTATACCGTACCAACAAAGAGCATTCGCGCGTATCACTTCACAAATAATGATAACACGAATATTAATTGCCGTAGATTTTATTAAGTGATATTACAAACAAACTATATAAATTCTTGTTAACTTTGTCGCATTTATCTTCAATGTTAGATTTTATTGCACTATTCTTAATTAAATCTGTAATTAACTTTATCATTTCGTCCTTTTTACGAGCACATAAATAGTGTCGTTAACAAACAAAGATCTGCAAATTTAAAATTAAATGTTTTGATCTTGCAAATTGACCTCTTAATTTTTGGTTGTTCTTCGCGTTAACCCTGAAAGTAAGTAGCTTTTGATTAGTTTTATGTCTTTTAAAATCTGTTATATACTTTTGATGAAAAGTTTGATAGGATAGTAAAGAACATCGTGGTTTAACAACCACTACTCTAAACTAACACTTTACTGAGTTACTACAGTTAATTCACTGTTAGTTGCTTGTGTTGACTTCCATTTCCAGCGGATACTCCCGAGGTAATGATTTCCTTATCGAAAATGTATGGCTGTTTTCCGTCGGAATTGTTTTTCTCGAATGAGGATGTGGTATTGCCAGATCATTCCGATACTTTTTATTAAGTTTCTATTTAGTATATCAAATCACTCAACAGTTTTGAATACTAGCAACTCTACAGTTATGAAAACACCACTTTATAATTATTATTACCGTTTTGCATAAATATAAGCCCAATATAAGCTCAGTATAATTTATTCGATGTTTTCTTATTCTGCTTTTAAACTAAACAATTTTTACTGAATACAATTTTTCTTGATAAACATCAATTTAATGGTATTATTGGCTTGTTGCATCTATCCAGAACTACAACTTTGCATCCCATCAAATTAAGGATATTTTTGTTAGTTTTAATCACAAAATATTGTATCAATTATGTAATGTCCATTTAGTTATCACTTAAATCTTGTATTCCGTTAAATATTAGAAACCAAACGATCGTAATGAACAGCTACATATTTTTTATGTACAAATGTTTTAGGTTACAAATTTCTACGGTATCACATCTCTCCTCATCATTCTTTAATCGTGGAGATTGGATAAGTTTCGATATTTTGCTCGACGAATAGAAATAAATAAAGTTGATTATATTCTGTATCTGTGCATGTTCTGTGTCCATAAGGAAATAATCAAGGTGGGAATGAAAATTATACGACATGGAAGTTATTAATCAGAAAAATTGTACCATTATGACTCTTTTATAGTATAAGAACTTAAAACGCTTTTAAAATGAGTCCAAGCACAACTTCTTTTTCTTTATAAATATCCGAGTTGCTCTTAATATAAATAACTTGACGTATTTGAGATTTTTAACGGAATTTCACCACTTTAAATTCCGTTATCTCCGCGATCGAAAAGAATTCAGGGACATAAATGGTACTCTATTTCAACAACGCAGTTATAATAGAGTACGATTATGTAATTACGATTGCAATCGCAGTTTTTAACCAAATAGATTATTTATTTTCATCAACGATATAAATTAAAATAAAATTAGAAATGTACTTTATTAACAAAATTATTCTCAAAAAGGGCATAACAGTAATTAGTTTTCCTGTGATTAGGATCTTAACTAGTCCTCTGCATTTGGAATAATAACACTGAATGTGACAATATATTTGGCAACAAAAGTTGATGAACATGAAAATCATTTTAAAAGAAGTAAAATCTTCTCAATTTCAGAAATGTTTTTTTTTGGGAAATTCATAATTAATTAACGGTATATAGGATTTCTTCCGAGAACATGACTGATGAATATAGTTCATTTTTTTTGTAGAAACAGTCTTAACATGTTTAAATAATTTTCTTTTAAATAAGTGTCTATCACTTGGCAGCACTTATCCGGTACGATCAGATTTTGCTATCTAAAACATTCCATATGTGTAACACATGATATGTGTCATATTTCTGAATATTTGCAGAGTAGGTTTTAGAAGTTGATCCATAACTCTGATTTCTCTTCCGCTATTACTGCTTTATATGATTGTTAAAGTAGTTTTTCCCGAAGAGGGATATAACCAGGTCATAACAATTCAATAGCCTTGTTCGCTTGTTCGTATATCTAAAGCACTTTGTTACAATGCGTCCAATTTCCAGTTTTTTGTCTTTGTATGATTGCAATAAAATAACGTTTTCTAAATTAGTATAAGCGTTATTATACTTGATACACGTCGCATAATATCATTTTGACTAATTAGTCTACTACCATTCTTTCCTAATTCTATTTCTCTTTGTCCTTATCCGAATTTTTATTTCTTCCTTCCATTTAGTTGTATGTTATGCACTTCACATCTTGCTTTCAGTTAATTAACCAACAATTAGATTAAACTCTAAATCCACGATTATGATTCTGGATTGAAAAAGTAAAAATCGAGTAGTGCAATGACATTAATGATTCAGATTTCCTCATTCTAGTCAAATTAGTTATGACTTGTGTCGTTGCTACTGAAGTTTTTAGATTCAATGCCTTCATCGTCTATACCTTCAGTTCTTCTGTCATACTAAAAAATCGCGCTCAGGAGGAAAACGTGGATCACGCACTTTTTTCACTATAATGCTTCGTTTTAATAAAGATTTGCAATAAGAATACCCGCGAACGTCTTGTGCCACTATTTTTACATCTAAGAATCTTTTCAGTTTTGTCATTGATTATCATCGCCCTTACGCTTTCACAGTGATTGATGTTACAGTTATATTTATGTGTCTCATATCTTATGATCATTTGTATTGAACAATGCTTGTTTACTATCGTTAGATTGTATTCTTAGCAAAGTTTCGCATGAATAACAGAACTGAAAATGTAACAGTATAAATATTATTAACAATTATTAACTTAATTATCTTAACAATTAACAACTAAGGCTACTTTAAGGCTACTTTAATATTTTTTGCACAACTGTTTTGTAATTAGTTTATTAACCAATGATTTTCAATTGGCGAAGGAAGTTGTCACATTGTGTCAGCATTCTGAGTTTTAGTTTGGCAAGATCTAACAATAGAACATAAAATAATACAATTACGATAAATTATTTCATGATTTTAGTAAATTCGTAGTACATGTTTCAGGTTTCCTTGTCATACTAGCCAGTTTAGATTTGACTTGTGTTGTTATCTAATTAAAGTAAACCCTTTTATTTGGTGCTGATGTGTGTATTGTCAATGAAATTTACCTTTGATTAACTTTGTGCGTAGAGATAATTTCAAACGATGTTTCTAATTTTTTCGCTCTCACCATATTCTACTTCTTACTTATCTCCATACATCCATCCACTTTGAAAAACTACTTCTTTTCTCAATTAGACCAAAGTGCCTACAGCATATACAAAACTTCATATGAAAAAAATCGAAGCAATAAACCATTGCTATGCGTACAATCATATTCTTATTTTAGCCACTGCGGTATGACATGAGAATTGCAATGTTCTTTTGCAGTGATCTGCTGGGTCGAAAGCTTTAGTAAACAAGCAGAACTCTTATTTCCTTCTCTTTATACTACTACTTCATCCCACATACACTTGAAACATCCTCTGACAATGTTTATAGTGAAGATGCCTCATTTAGGGAATATTTTTTTAAAAATCTTTTACAGAAGGTTATTATCAGCAAATTTAGGATGTTTATTTTTAGACATCTTATATTAATGATGTATAATTAAGTAAATCGAGACTTAAGCATCCATTTTAGGAGTTTTATTGACTCTTTTCTGGTGAGGAAATGAACATATGTATTCCTTTATCAGATATATACCATTATCTATATATACAGCGTGTCCCGTATCTTCCGCATCAGAGCATTATACGGTTGTAGGATACACTATTCTGAAGCGATCTTTCTAATAAATTTTTTTCGAAATGTTTATAATATCCGC